ATTTTACAGGCTCATAGGTGGAAGGGACTTGCCTTGTCTCAGATGAGACTTTGGACTGAGGACTTTTGAGTTAATGCTGAAATGAGTTAAGACTTTGGGGGACTTTTGGGAAGGCATGATTGGTTTTGAAATGTGAGATCATGAGATTTGGGAGGGGCTGGGGGTGGAATGATATGATTTGGCCGTGTCCCCATCCAGATCTCATCCTGAATTCCCATGCATTGTGGGAGGGACCTGGTAGGAGGTCATTGAATGATGGGGGCAAGTCTTTTCTGTACTGTTCTCATGATAGTGAATAAGTCTCATGAGATCTGATGGTTTTAAAGAGAGGAGTTTCCCCACACAAACTCTCTCTCTTTGCCTGCTGCCATCCATATAAGATGTGACTTGCTCCTCCTTGCCATCTGCCATGATTGTGAGGCTTCCCCAGCCACGTGGAACTGTAAGTTCAATTAAACCTCTTTCCTTTGTAAATTATCCCGTCTTAGGTATGTCTTTATCAGCAGTGTGAAAACAGACTAATGCACTTTGCCTCCGGGTTCAAGCAATTCTCATGCCTTCGCCTCCCAAGTAGCTGGGACTACAGGTGTGGACCACCATGCCTGGCTAATTTTTGTATTTTTAGTAGAAACAGGGTTTCACCATGTTGGCCAAGCTGGTCTTGAACTTCTGACCTCAAGTGATCCACCTGCCTTGGCCTCCCAAAGTGCTGGGATTACAGGCATGAGCTGTCGCACCTGGCCTGCACGGTGAATTTCTAATCCCAGTGATTAGATGTGGATATTAATGTTATTCATTTCCTTTTTACTTTATGTTTGTTTTTAATAATAATTCTGTAACATTTGAAGATATAAATGCCTTAAATACTTTTAAAGTCATGTTAAAAATTCTTCTGATTTCAAAAACAATGAAAAAATTGATAATGTATTTGGAAATTGTAGAATATGAGAGAATCCTAATTTATAAAATGAGGCAGTCTGATACAGGTCAGTTGTACAAGGACATTAGTACATTAGTACTGTTGATACCTTCATGTTTGGCAATTATAGTCAGGTATTTCTTTTATGAATTTAAAATTAGTAATTTATTTTATGACCAACTTTTCAGGAGCTGTTATTGTGAAAGTCTTTTTGCTACTATGAGTGTTATCCAGTCAGAAATAGGAACCAATTGTAAACAATTACTTCTATTGCTGCAAACATGTTTTTTTGAGACCGAGTCTTACTCTGTTGCCCAGGCTGGAGTACAGTGGCACCATCTCGGCTCACTGCAACCTCCGCCTCCCGGCTTCAAGCAATTATCCTAAGCGTAGGTGGGATTACAGGCCTGTGCCACCACGCCCAGCTAATTTTTGTATTTTTAGTAGAGACAGGGTTTCACCATGTTGGCCAGGCTGGTTTTGAACCCCTGACCTCAGGTGATCCACCCACCTTGGCCTCCCAAAGTGCTGGGATGACAGTAGTGAGCCACCGTGCCCCAAAAGAAAAAAATTTCAAATTTCATACCTTAAAAATTATCTCCTTCATGAGATCAACACCTGTGGAAAGAAAAGAAAAAAGAAAACATTATTTCCTTCAAACTAACTTGATAAAGTTTGGAAATACTATAAATCCTCAATATTTAAAATAGTGTAGTACTAGCATGTGGATAGACAGATCAAAGCAATGTAAAATAAATTCTGAAATTGGCCCATTATAGTTAAGACTTTTGATTATTAGAAAGGTGGCATTGTCCTCATGAATCTCAATGAGGCTTAAACAGACCACCCTATTTAATAGCACAACCTTCCACCACATCCATCCCCAACATTCCTGGTCCCCCTTATCCTGTTCTTCTTTTCTTTCTATAGCACTTACCACCTCCTAACACACTATATAATTATTTATCGTATTTTTTTAATTGTTGGAATCCCCTCGCATAAATGTAGCCTTTTTATTTTGTTCACTGCTCTATCCCAAGCATCTAGGAAAGTGCCTACCATATATAGTAGATACTTGATAAATATTTGTTAAATGAATGAATCTCAAATCAGTGGTGAAAGATGTAACATACTCTACAATAAGTGACACTAGACAATTGATAGCCATCTGGGGAAATACAAATACATTGGTTCTAGACTTTACATCACACACCAGGAAATTTCTAGATTTCTAGATGGATTAAAGGCTTAAACAGAAAGATAACAACCGTGAAAGTAGTTCAGGAAACCATGGGGAAATGATTGTATACCTTTTGGAATGGGGAAACTTTATCAAAATATCATATAAAAATCCAAAAGCCATAAATGAAAATATTGATAAATTTAACTACCGAAAGAAATTCCACAAGGCAAAAACACAGTAAACATATTCAAAGACAAGTAAAAAACTAGGAAAAAAATCACAACTCGGTCTTTCCAATATAAAAAGATTGCCTATAAGATAGATAAGAAAAAGACCAATAGCCTAATAGAAAAATTGACAAATGTTATGAATTAAAAATTCATGGAATAAAAACCAATGAAAGAAATGAAAAGATACCCAATTAAAATTACGTTGAGATATCATTTAAAAAACTTTCAGCCTGATAAGTTCAAAAGCTTGATGACATACTGAGATGGTGGATTTACGAGAAGCACAAACTCTCAACCATTGTTGGTGGAAATTTAAATTTGTATACTTGTTATGAAGTGCATCACAGTAGTACCCATCAGCATATACACTCTTTTTTGAAAAAAATTATTTATTTGTTTTGAGACAGGGTCTCACTCTGTTGCCGAGGTTGGAGTGGAGTGACATGATCTTGGCTCGCTGCAATCTCTGCCTCCCAGGCTCAAGTGATCCTCCCACCTCAACCTCTTGAGAAGCTGGGACCAAAGGCGTGTGCCACCATGCCTGACTAATTTTTTGTATTTTTTGTAGAGATGGAGTTTCACTGTGTTGCCCGGGCTGCTCTCAAACTCCTGGACTCAATCATTATCTCGCCTCAGCCTCCCAAAGTGCTGGGACTACAGGCGTAAGCCACCACACCCAACTCATATACATCCTTTCATATAGCAATTCTACTTCTAAGAATTTTTTCTTGTTACCAGTCAGGATTAGCTAGGTTAAGTTGAGGTAATAATCTCAAAACATCAATGGCTTAAAATTACAAAGGGCTTTTTAAAATGTCTCACTAGTGCCACAGAAAGACTATCCTTAAAAAAGTATCAAAAAATATGTTAAAAAGAAAAGAGCAAGGTGAAAAAAAAAAATAGTGCCATTAGTCGTTATGTCAGTGTAGATCTAAGCTGCCATCTGGTGGTGTTTTTCTTCCTCCTGAAGAACTCTTACTGTTTCTCGTAGTTCAGGTCTACTGGAAACAATTTTTCTCAACTTTGTCTGTCTGAAAAATTCTTTTTTTTTTTTTTTTTGAGACGGAGTCTCATTCTGTCGCCCAGGCTGGAGTGCTGTGGCGCAAGTTCAGCTCACCACAACCTCTGCCTCCCGGGTTCAAGCGATTCTCCTGCCTCAGCCTCCTGAGTAGCTGGAATTACAGGCACATGCCACCACACCCAGCTAATTTTTGTATTTTTAGTAGAGATGGGGTTTCACCATGTTGGTCAGGCTGGTCTCGAACCCCTGACCTTGTGATCCACCTACCTTGGCCTCCCAAAGTACTAGGATTACAGGCGCGAGCTACCATACCTGGCTGAAAAATTCTTTAGTTCACCTCAAAATTTTTTTTTTTTTTAGAGATAGGAATCTCAATATGGTGCCCAGGCCAGGTGGGACTTGAACTCTTGGACTCAAGCAATCCTTCCACCTCAACTTCCCAAATAGCTGGAACTATAGGGATTCACCATGGCACCCAGCTTACTTCATCTTTATTTATTTTAATTTTTTTTATTTTATTTTCATTTTTTGGAGATGGAGTCTCACTCTGTCACCCAGGCTGCAGTGCAGTGGCATGATCTCGGCTCACTGCAACCTCTGCCTCCTGAGTTCAAGCGATTCTCCTGCTTCAGGCTCCCAAGTGGCTGGGGCTACAGGCATGCACCACCGCACCTGGCTGATTTTTGTATTTTTTAGTAGAGACAGGTTTCACCATATTTCGCCTGTAATCCCAGCACTTTGGGAGGCCAAGGTAGGCAGATCACCTGAGGTCAGGAGTTCCAGACCAGCCTGACCAACATGGAGAAACCCTGTCTCTACTAAAAATATAAAATTAGCCGGGTGTGGTGGCACATGCCTGTAATCCCATCTCCTCAGGAGGCTGAGGTAGGGAATCGCTTGAACTCGGGGGGCGGAGGTTGTGGTGAGCCGAGGTCACACTACTGCACTCCAGCCTGGGCAACAGGAGCGAAACTCCGTCTCAAAAAAAAAAAAGAAACAAAAAACAAAAAACAAAAAGCCAAGTTTTAATAATTGCTGTGTTTAACAACTGGCTTGTAACATGCCTGAAAATGCAACAACTAGCTCTCGTGACCTGTTGTGGTCTGGCTCCAGCATACAACTGTGCCACTGCCTTCTCCTTTGCCTGCTGTTTCCAAATAAGCTTCTTTGTTTAGTTAACAGGTGTCCATTTCTTTTTTTAAAAAATCTCCTTTTCTCCCATGAGATGGGGTAGGGAAGATGAACTCCCTTTCTCCTATCCTTAGACTTCCCTGGGTGGGTGAACAAGTCACATGGAAGTTTGGTGAGAGGCTTCACTGGGGGGCAAGAGGATTAAAGCCTGTGTGTTCCCAAGAGCCTTCCTTGCATCTGGCCAGCTAACTGCTGCCTTGGCATAACTTTGGGAGGGTCAATTACCCCATTTGGGGTAAGGGTGAATGTTTACAAAATGGGATAGGCTGAATTACTGCTGGTTTGTAGTTGGTGGAAAGAGGGAGAAACGAGCCCGGCACATCCTCGTCCTTCCTCTCCTCTTCTTTTTTTTCCCTTTTCTGTTGTCACCATCACATTCCTTGATGTCATTCCTGCCATTGTGAGCTGACAGGCCCTCCCAGCCCTGGTGGACAGACCATAAGTAAATGGGGAGGAAGAGCTGGGAAGGTGGGGGCAGATCACATCAACATCTCGGCGTTGGGCTGGGTCTGCGTGGAGCCTCAGAAATGTTCCCCAGCCCATTCTTCCCAAGAACCAATGAGTAAAATCAGGGGCCTCCCACCTGAGGTCAGGGAACCAGGCCCTGGAGTGGAACTTGGGGTGGAAAATGGCCTTCTTTGTCAACTGATTCATTCTCCAGAATTCAACTTGTTCTCCAACTCGGTGGTGTTTGAAAGCAACTTTATCCAGGTACCCTCATGCAGCTCAGGGCCAGCTGTCTTTCTCTTTCCAAAACCTGTTCCTAGGGGTTGGTTAGGAGATGCTGTGGCCTTTTAAAGCCCTGGAGGTGGGGGAGGAAGGACAAAGAAGCCACCAAAGCTAGAGAAAACCAGAAGGTCTGGGTCCCAAGTTCACCTCCATTTGTGCCTACCATATGATAGAGCTACCTGCAGGTCATCTGCTTTAAGGAAATTGATTTATGCCTTACAAAAGGAGAGATCAGAGCTCAGTCTCCAGGCAGGGTTCACAGGCCCTTTCTGGGCCACTTGTCCAAACTGGGTAGTTAAAGGGAATGAAGGTTGCTGTTAGAAACCCTGCTCTGAAATCCAACCTCCTCACTCTGGGATGGTTTAGAAACAGCCTTGTTGGAAAGTGAAGACACTGGGTAAAAAGGTCTTGCCCAGATCCTACCATTCCCTAAAAGGATGGTGGTGACCAATGGAAGTGAGCCTGGGATGGGGCCACTGGGAGTGGAAGGTGGTCGTTTTCATAAGTATCAAGTCTTAGGCAGGTGCTGCCTGCCTCCCTCTAGCGGTCTAGCCTGAACCCATGCTCCTGCGCGAGAGAGCATAATCAGTTGGTCAGCCAGTAAGCACACACTAAACATCACTGAGTGCAGGGCAGGAGGTGCAGAGAAAGATCAGTGTCCCTGGCCAAGAAGCCTATGAGTTTGGTTTACCCGTTATTTGGTAACTGTCTAAGCAAGCTCTATGTCAGAGAGTTTGGTCCAGCTGATGCCCCAGGCATGTGCTGGGGGCATTCAGGGCATTCTCTCTGGACTTTGGCAGTTGAAGAAGGCTTTCCAGAAGGGTCTTAAGCCATTCTTTGAGAGACTGCTGAGATTCTGGTAAGTGGAAGAACAGCGGGGAGGATATCTCAGACAGAGGGGCTTCAAAGTACCTAAGGAAAGGCAGGGAGGCTGGAATGCAAGGTCTGCAAGACACAGACCCATTCAAATGGAGTGGGAAAGCAGCCAGGGGTTATAGGAGAGAAGGTGGAAACAGTTTGAGGTGGGTCTTGGGCTTAGTTTGGAGACTCTTCACAGAGCAGTGAGCTACTCCCTAATGGAGTCCCCGGATTCTGGAGAGCTGTGTTCATGGCTCCTGCCGCTCCACGGTCCCTTTGCTGCCCCCCGGGAGATGTGTAGTTGAGTGATCAACTGGCAAACCTGAGGCGAGCTCATTCCTAACATACCCTTGGTGGAGACAGAGCAATAACATGGGAAGTCCAGTCTCAGGGTCCAATTTCTAGTCATTTCTATTTGGGTGTAATGATTCATGATTCGGCTGCAAATTTGTTCTCTTAGTTTTTTTTTTTTTTTTTTTTTTTGAGATGGAGTCTCACTCCGTTGCCCTGGTGCGATCTAGGCTCACTGCAACCTCTGCCTCCCGGGTTCAAGCAATTCTCCTATCTCAGCCTCCCGAGTAGCTAGGACTACAGGCGTACACCACCTTGCCCAGCTAATTTTTTTGTGTTTTAGTAGAGACAGGGTTTCACCATGTTGGCCAAGATGGTCTCAATCTCTTGACCTCATGATCCGCCCGACGTGGCCTCCCAAAGTGCTATTTTTTTGGCCTAATATTAAAACTGTTTAGATTCTCTGAATGGACACTAAGTGACCCAGGTAGCAACAAACTCAGAATGTGCTAGGGAGAGGCTGACCCCCACAGAAAAGTTCAAAGTTTGATTTAAAAAAATTTTTTTTGATAGAGACAGGGTCTCACCATGTAGCCCAGGCTCGTCTTGAACTCCTGGCTTCAAGTGATACTCCCACTTTGGACTTCCAAAGTGCTGGGATTATAGGCGTGAATGACTGCACACAGTCCGAAGTTTACTTGAAGTGATGCAATCCACGTATTAGTTATAGTTTTAGTTGTTGTAGTGGAGTTACACTGCTTCCTCTCTCCCCTTTCCTGCACATCGCCATCACTATCGTCTCAAAGCAGCATCACCCACAAATATTTATTGAGCACTTACTCTCAATATGTACAACCCTCTGTGTTTTGCAGAGGACATGAATTTTATTCCTCAACATGGGCTCCAGGAAGTGTCACTTTTTTTTTTCAAAATCAAAATTCACTTTTCTGGGAACACCATCTGGTCAGGCTGGTGGGAAATTACATTTCAGTCATTCCTGGGGCTTTCCCTTGTCCCCAGTTCCACCAAGGACTGGGCAGTGGTGTCGATGGTTTTACAAAGTCTAGAACATTGACTGGACTTAGTGGCTCATGCCTGTAATCTCAGCACTTTGGGAGGCTGAGAGGAGAAGATCACTTGAGCCCAGGAGTTTGACACCAGTCTGGGCAACATAGTGAGACCCCATCTCTATTTTCTAAAAAAGGTGTAGAGCATTGGGAGAAGGCCCTCTGGCCTTGGGAACACAGGGGTCCCTCCTCATATGTTCCTTACCTGGGTCCCCGTGGCTCCTTAGTGGCCCCAGTTCTTGTGCTTTTCTGCCAGCCGTGCATAATGAGGTGGGGGGTGTCTTAGCTGAGACATTGTGCCCAGTGGTGGGCATCCAGTATCTCTGTCCTGTGATGGCCCCCTTCTGCTTCAAGAGAATAGATCCTCATTCCATTCAAGACCCAGCAACAAGATAGCCCCTCCATCATTCTGGGAGAAGTGCTCCAAACCTCCCTCAACTCAAGCTGTCTGGGTCTTCCCTATTCAACAGCTTTTTCCTCACTTTCCTCCCCTTCTGGGACTTTCTTCACACAATCTCCCTTTTGGGCCATTAGAAACCAGTGCTGGCTTCTCCTACCCAAAGATGGGGGAATGAAAACTTCAATGCCACTCAGCTTTTTCTTGCTAGTGCATCTTTTTACAGTTAGATAAAACAGAGGACCCAGAGAAGGATAATATAGGGTTCCTGCAGCCAAGGACCTTAAAGTATATTTGGGGAGACCAACAAAAAGGGTCAATAGCAGGTCAGGGCCCAGCTCAGTGTGCTGCACACCTGCCCCTAAGATGAAGTGCTGCTTTCCAGCATCTGTATCCTTCCACCCCTTGTTTTCTGCTCCTTTCTGACCCACGCACCTGAGGCTGATTTCCAGGTCACTAAGCCCGGGAACTGGAGAGATGTCTGTGAAGGGTCTGCCACCGTGATCCTTGGGGTGACCTCCTCGGTGCCCTCCCTGCCGCTCCCCAATGTCCTCCTGATGGCCAATGTTACCTGGCCCCGGGGTCCATTTTCCACCTGGAGCACACCTGGTGATGCCCCAGTCATCACCCTCAGCAGGTAAAGGCTTGAGGGAGGGCCGGAAGGGATGGAATGATTGACTGGGATATGCATTGCTTTGTAGCTGGATTTTAGATCAAAAGAAAAGACAGTGTTCTTTAGGGCATAAACCCTATAGAACTCATTCTTTCATTTGTTTAGCAAGTATTTAATATCTTTTTTTTTTTTTTTTTTGAGATAGAGTCTCGCTCTGTTGCCCAGGCTAGAGTGCAGTGGCGTGATCTCGGCTCACTGCAAGCTCCACCTCCTGGGTTCACACCATTCTCCTGCCTCAGCCTCCCGAGTAGCTGGGACTATAGGTGCCCGCCACCACACCTGGCTAATTTTTTATGTTTTTTAGTAGAGACAGGGTTTCACTGTGTTAGCTAGGATGGTCTCAATCTCCTGACCTCGTAATCTGCTTGCCTTGGCCTCCCAAAGTGCTGGGATTACAGGTGTGAGCCACCACGCCCAGCTGTATTTGTTTAGCATCTATATTTACCAAGCACTGTTCTTCGTGCTGGGATAGGGCAGTACACAGTCCTTGTCTCGAACCTGGTTTTTGAGAATCTTAGCTTCCTTTTCTGTAAATGTATGTGTGTGTGTGTGTATACATGTGTGTACATGCAGACACATTTCCATGTCTTTTAAAATCTTTTTGTAAATATAATTTCAATAATTTCTATTTAGTAATATGAATGAATTAAAATTTACTTGACAAGTCCCTAATATTAGACATTTAGAAATGTTTCTTTTTGTCAATATAGATAGAGGGGTTTCCGAGGAAAAAGTGGGGATACGAAAGTCAAACACGACTATGAAATCCTGAGATTGAAAAAAAAATACTAGATATTCAGGAGACATCTATCCTTTTCCTTGCCCTTTCAACACAGTAAGTCAGGATATAGGGAGAAAGAGTCCTAGAAACTGAGTCAGGATATCTTAGTTCCACGTCATACTTAATAAGATCTAAACTTGGGCAAATCACTTAGCCTCTCTAAGCGTCAGCCTCAAAATCTGTAAAGCGGAATTAATCATACTTATCTTGACAGGGCATAGTGGCTCACATCTGTAATCCTAGCTCTTTGGGAGGCTGAGGTGGGAGGATCGCTTGAAGCCAGGAGTTCAAGACCAGTCTGGGCAACATAGGGAGATCCTGTTTCTACCAAAAAAATACCAAAATAATTAGGTGGGTGTACTGGCACACACCTGTATTCCTACTAAAGTCCTGGAAATTGGAGAGGAGTCAGTCTTAGTAATCACCCCCACTTTCATTACATGAGCTTTCTCCCTTCAGCATCCCCCAGGCAGAGAGGTAGGAGGCCAATGACGCTGAGCCACCTCTAAGTGGGCACCCACAGGGTTGATTGAAACCACGGGCTCTCTCACGGGAATGTCCTGATTATGCCCAGGCTTCTCCCCCTGAAGTACGTGGAGCTGCGAATCTACGACCGGCTCCAGCGCATCCTGAGGGTTAGGACAGTGACTGAAAAGATCTACTATCTGAAGCTCCACGAAAAACACCCAGAGATTGTGTTTCAATTCTGGGTCCGCTTGGTGAAAATTCTGCAGAAAGGCCTGTCCATCACCACCAAAGACCCGAGAATCGAATTCACTCACTGCCTGGTGCCCAAGATGCCCACCAGCTCCATAGAAACAACAGTAAGTGGACCTCCCTCCAGGACCTGTTGAGAGCTAAGTATATATATGTATATATGTAAGTGTGTGTGTATATATATAGACGTTTCCATGTCTTTTAAAAGCTCTTTGTAAGTATCATTTTGATAATTTCTATTCAGTAGTATGAATGAATTAAAATTTATTTGACCTGTCCCTAATATTGAGACATTTAGAAATGTTTCTGTTTTTTTGAGACAGAGCCGTGCCCTGTCACCCGACTGGAGTGCAATTGCGCCATCTCGGCTCACTGCAACTTCCACCTCCCGAGTTCAAGCGATTCTCGTGCCTCAGCCTCCAGAGTAGCTGGGATTACAGGTGTATGCCACTACGCCTGGCTCATTTTTGTATTTTTAGTAGAGATGGGGTTTCACCATGTTGGCCAAGCTGGTCCTGAACTCCTGTCCTCAAGTGATCCACCTGCCTTGGCCTCCCAAAGTGCTGGGATTACAGGTGTGAACCTCTGTGCCTGGCCTGTATTTATTATTGTAAATAATGCTAAAACAAGCATTTATATGTATGATCTACATTTCTGATTATGTTCTCAGATAGGTTTTTAGAAGTAGAATTCAAAGAGCATGAACGTTTTCAAGGCTCTTAACACACATTGCTAGATTATTTCCATAAATATCATACCAAATTATACTCTCACCAATAATATGAGTGTCTGTGGGCCGGGTGTGGTGGCTCACGCCTGTAATCCTAACACTTTGGGAGGCCAAGACAGGTGGATCACCTGAGGTCAGGAGTTCAAGACCAGCCTGCCCAACATGGCGAAACCCTGTCTTTACTAAAAATACAAAACTTAGCTGGGCATAGTGGCAGGCCCCTATAATGCTACTTGGGAAGCTGAGGCAGGAGAGTCACTTAAACCCGGGAAGGGAAGGTTGCAGTGAGCCGAAATCGTGCCACTTTACTCCAGCCTGGGTGAAAGAGTGAAACTCCATCTCAAAAACAAAAAAAAAAAATTAGTATTTTACTGCATATCCTATTACAATTGAGCAGTAAACGTTTTAATAAAATTCCTAGTATAATAGGTAAAAAAGTGGCATTCTCTGATTTTCAATGAGTTTCAGCATTGTTACATTGTTATGTATTTATAGTCATATATATAATACAATATTGTTGTAATATATTTTATATATATATAAATGCCATATATATGGCACTGTCTATTGTGTTCTTTGGCCATTTTTCTATTGGCAATCTTGTGTTTCTCTAAATTGATTTGTAAAAGAAAACTTTTTTTTTTTTTTGAGATGGAATCTCACTCTGTTGCCAGGCTAGAGTGCAGTGGTGCAATCTTGGGTCACTGCAACCTCT